GGCTCTGTTGCCCAAACTGGAGTGCACTGGCACTACCTTGGCATGTCTCAGCCTCAACCTCCAAGGCTCAAAGGATCTTCCTGCCTCAGACCCCTGAGTAGCTGGGACTACAGACACAAGCCACCAGGCCCAGCTAATTTTCGTATTTTTTTTTTTTTTAAGAGACGAGGTCTCACTATGTTGCCCAGCTGGTCTCAAACTGCTGGACTCAAGGGATCCGCCCTCCTCAGCCTCCCAAAGTGCTGGGATTACAGGTATGAGCCACTGCACCTGGCCTCAGTTATTTCTTCATTAATAGTATTGCAAGAATGGCCTAATACAGCTATTTTTATACAAAAAGATGAGTTATTTACAAGCCATTCTTTGCTACCCACCTGTATATTTGTGAAAAATTTGAAGCATAATATAGCTTTTTTATATAATCATAAATGGTTTAACTTTGTGACATTTCTGTGTGTCAAGGAATGGTGCTGAGTTCCAAGATGATACCAGTTTTTACAGGTTCGTGGCCATCTTGAAAGTGTCTGCCTAATAGGCTTTCTTTTTAAAAAAGACAAATCATCACCAAAAATTGAAGAGAAAAATCGAGTGTTATTTATATGAAACTTAAACATGTGACATGTATTATTCTTCTCTGAGTACTTCCCAGATGTGATTATGATCTACATAGTTTTGCTAAGACAACTCAATAACTTGTAAAGAGGTGTAGCATTAAAATGTTCCCTATTTGTGATTACCCATTGTACTTTAAGACTGTTCTTGCTAATTTTTTATTTCTGATGATCCAAGTGAAGAGTATTTGCCAAACACCCACAGTATCAAATCTAAGATTCTAAAGGCAGCCTGCAAAGGAAACAAAGGGAAATGAATTCTAGAGGAGAATCTACAAGTTAAGATTCTATGCAATTGTTGGGTAGATGCAAAACGGACTGGAGGAAACATTGCTTTCACTTTTTTTTTTTTTTTTGAGATTGAGTTTCACTCTTGTCACCCAGGCTGGAATGCAGCGGCATGATCTCTGCTCACTGCAACCTCCACCCCCTGGGTTCAAGTGATTCTCCTGCCTCAGCCTCCCAAGTAGCTGGAATTACAGGCATGTGCCACCATGCCCGGCTAATTTTTGTATCTTTAGTAAATAAGGGGTTTCACCATATAGGCCATATAGTTGGTCTTGAACTCCTGACCTCAGGTGATCCACCCACCTTGGCCTTTCAAAGTGCTGGGATTATAGACATGAGCCACTGTGCCTGGGCAAAACATTGCTTTAGAAACACCTGCTGAATAGTTTCTTTTACGGGTTGTCCTCCCTCTTCCCCAAAGAACTTGGATTACTAATCTGAAACTTCAGAGTAGATCATGGGTAAACTGATTGATGTGCTAGTTACCTAAGTATGTTTGTTTACATCCTACCTCACTCCACAAAAGACTTGAGTGTGTTTATAACATCTAATTTCCTCTAAGTTGAAAAAAAAAGGAAAGAAAAAACAGGGTCATGGAAAATATATAAGGAAAAGGAATATTGGCTGGGCTCAGTGGCTCATGCCTGTAATTCCAACACTCTGGGAGGCCAAGGTGGGAGGATCACTTGAAGCCAGGAATTGGAGACCGGCCTGGGCAACAAAGGGAGACCTCATCTTTACAAAAAATAAACCTTATCCAGGTACAGAGGTACAGTGGTGTGCTCCTGTAGTCCCAGATACTTGGGACACTGAAGTGGGAGGATCACTTGAGCCCTGAAGTTTGAGGCTACAGTGAGCTGAGATCATGCCACTGTTCTCCAGCCTGGACAACAGAGCCAGACCTTGTCTCTCGGGGGAAAAAAGAAAAGAAAAGAAAAGAAAAAAATAATAGTAATATAAATCTAGGCCAGATGTCTCTAAACTTTGCAGTAGTGCATTAGGATCACCTGAGGAACTTTTAAAGCTCTTGATGCCCACGTGGCACCCCACACTAATTAAATCATAATGTTTGGGAGTAGGAGGCAGAGAGGAATAGGAGTAAAAATTCCCAAATGTTTCTATGTGTAGCAAAATTTGGAAACCACTGGCCTAAGTTGATGTTCTGAGCCTTAAACGTATATTAACATCACCTGGGAGGTTGTTGCAGCTACTGATGTCAGAACCCATTAAATCATACTCTCTGATGCTGGTTACTGGGCACTTAGTCTATTTTAAAGCTCCCCAGATGATTGCAATGTACATGCAGAGTAGAGAACCACAGCACTGGGGAAAAGTTGGTATATAGTTACAAAGGGGATTGATTTATTTTTTTATGGGTTATTTTATGGCTTAAGACCATGAAACTGGTTCTGAGCTTCCTGGTGTCCAAAGTAGATAGAAAAGCACATTCAGTTTTAACAGTTTTGGTCATCCGCCATGCAAAAGCTTATCAGTTTCTTGAAAACAAAAAATGCTTTTCTTCGTAGATCTGAAATAAATGTCTAGTTTATTAGTCTTCTTACAGAGGATGTTGGTGTCATGGATTATGATTTTATAAACACCCCACAATAAGTGACATATGGCAAGTTTCATCCTAGAGTTTCTAATAACCATCCCTCAGGGAAATATAAGGACATCACCCCGAGTGCAGGGGTATAGGCTGATGTGGTGGGTGTGCAAGAGCAGATGATAAAGGATAGGAAGAGAAACTGCCACAGCCCTCTACAGTTTCCAGATAATATAGACTCACCCAAAGGTAAAGTCTGAAATCGTGCACCTCCAGGGCGTGGAAGGAGTGTCCTGTGTTATTAGAAATTATAATTTTCTACCAGCACATGTTAAGAATCGATTATTTATTTATTTATTTATTTAGAGACACAGGGTCTTGCTCTGTCACTCAGGCTGGAGTGCAATGGCAGTATCATAGCTCCTTGTAACCTTGGACTTCTGGGCTCAAGTGATCCTCTAGTCTCAGCCTCCCGAGTAGCTAGGACTAGGGACCTGGCCCCATGCCACCACACTTGGCTAACTTTTTTTTTTTTTTTTTTTTTTTTCTCTCTCTCTCTTTGTTTTTTTTTAAATAGAGACAGGGTTCTCATTATATTGCTCAGGCTGGTCTTGAACTCCTGGCCTCAAATGAGCCTCCTGCCTCTGCCTCCCAAAATGCTGGCATTATTAATCAATTATTTTCCTTCCTTCATAATATTAACTGTACAAATTTTACAAAGGCTTGGCTAGTGAGGGTAGGTAGAGAAGCACTGACTGTCATCCACGAGGGTCACAGGCTGGGGGAAGGGCATCTAAGAATGTGTGTGTGTGTCAGTGAGAGTGAAAGAGTCAAGTGAGAGGGAGAGAGAGAGAGAGTGTGCATGTGCACCTTTTGTCTGTCAAAATACTTCACGGTGTTTTTGTTTTTGAAATGGAGTCTCGCTGTGTTGCCCAGGCTGGAGTGCAGTGGCCTGATCTTGACTCACTGCAACCTCCACCTCCCGGTTTCAAGCAATTCTCGTGCCTCAGCCTAACCGAGTAGCTGAGGTTACAGGGGCCTGCCACCACGCCCAGCTATTTTTTTGTATTTTAGTAGAGACAGGGTTTTGCCATGTTAGCCAGGCTGGTCTCGAACTCCTGGCCTCAAGTGATCCGCCCGCCTAGGCCTCCTAAAGTAATGGGATTAAAGGTGTGAGCCACCGCGCCCAGCCTAAAGACTGCAGGTTTGAAAAGGTTGAAAAACCTCAGTAGAGAACGAATGAACAGAAATCTGACTTTTAAACAATTCTCCATAAAGACTGTTTGTTTCTTATTTGGGGTTTTGTAGCCTGTAAGTACTGTGGACTTGATGGATGAAGATTTCTAGAGAAGGCTTCTGAGTAGAATGTTAAGTCTTCAAAGAAAATCCATTCTATGGCGCACGTTTTAAACCAGTCATGTTGAAGGGAGGCAAAGGAGAGGTTAAGGTAGGATGGGTTAGGCGAACAACAGATATTTAGTTTTGTAGCTGGCGACGAGGAAGAGGAGTCTTTCGGGTCACGTGAGTTCTCTCTCAACTTCCTTGAACGAAAATCCTAAATGCATCCCGATAATACCCAAGTAGGCACTTTGATGTTTCCTTTTCAAAGGCAAATACAATGTTCTGCGTCTATTTTGTTTTTGAACTCACAACTGCACTTAACATCTAAATTTAAGGAAAGGCTTCCTGAAAAAGTCGACTGACGAATTTCTTTCACTTATTTAAAGTAGCCTCTTGCAGTCCTGTGAATCGGAAGGATTAAATGAACTGCTTGCTAGAGAAACAGTAGCTAAGACGTGGGAAGAATCCTACGGTGGCTAATAAGACGTCTCGATCGTTTGCATATGCAAAGGATAACCTTAAGCTTGAGTTTGATATTTCACGTTGCAGCTCAAAAATGAACTGCCCTTTATTCAAAGAACCATGCTGTCTGCTTTCGCGTGGGTGGGTGTGTACTCGGGGCGGGCGCTGTGTTGATTTTGTTCCCTGTAAGGTTAACACAGGCAATGGCGACTCGCGGCCACACAGGGGCAGCCTCTCCTCGGCTGGCGGCCCGGCCGGGCGGCTCGCTCCCAGGAGCTGACAGTGTAGCCAAGTCCTGCTCGCCGGGGCTGCACAGAATTTAAAAGGGTCTAGAAACATCCATCTTTTCCCTTTTTCACATTCAACAGCGAGCTCAGGGCTCTTGGTAAAAAGACCACCGGGAGGAAGAAACGCTCATGGCGTTTTTGTTGTTGTTCGCAAAATGCCCCGGCGCCCCCAAACGTCCAGCCCACCTCCTCCCAAAAGTGGAGGGAGGGTCAGCAGCGCAAGCCGAGCGCGCCCGGACACGCCCCAGCGGCCGACTGACCCCCGCGGCGCCGCGCCAGGGGCCTGGGGCTGGGGTGGGCGTGGGGCTGAACTCCACCACCCCCGCAGCGCGCTGCCCGTCCCCCAGCCCGGCCTGTGATTGGCTTGGGGGGGGCGCGTGTGCCCGCCCCGGCGAGCGGGGAGGGTCCCCTGGCGGCGCGTGTGGGAGGAGGCGGAGGAGGCGGAGGAGGGGGCGGAGAGAACGGGGGTCCGGACGGCGCGAGCGAGGGGGCGGGCAAGCCGGGTCCCCGGGAGCGCAGAGCAGGCTCGAAGAGGGGCGGAGAGTGGCGGAGAGCGGCGGGGCGGGAGGGAGGCGAGGGCCGCGGGGAGGGAAAGCCCGGCGGGCTCCGCGCCGCCGCCGCGAGCAGGGAGAGGCGCTGGGGCTGCCACCCGCTGCTCGGCGCGCTCTCGGGAGCCGCCGGCCGGCCGGTCCCGCAGCCTTCCGGGAAGAAGCGGCGCCGCAGCGGCCGGGGCGCGCGCTCGGGCACCCTCACCTGCCCGCACCCGGCCGCTCCCCGAGCGGAGTGTGTGCGGGGCAGGGTGCGGGACCCGCAGGACCCGGAGGCTGGGGGGAGACCCTGCCGCCCGCCCGCGCCGCAGCACAGCCGCCGGGAGCGTCTCGGACCCCGCGCGGGGCGCCGGCTCCATGGCGACCGGGCTCGGGGAGCCGGTCTATGGACTTTCCGAAGACGAGGTGAGTGGCACCCTCTTCCTGCCCGGGACTCCCCTGGGAGTTCCTGTCCCACGCTTGCAGGGGGAGGGGAAAAGGGCCGCCCCTGGGGCGCTCTTGCCCAGCGTCTCCAGGGGAGCCCCAAAGCGGGAGCGCCCCGGAGAGGGACCGAGGGGAGCTTGGGTACTTCCGCCCCCCCCCATCCGCTAGCGGAGCGCATTGTTTGTAAATAAAGCGGCGCGATGCCCTCGGAGCTGGGGGTTCACTCCGCCGCTCCCGGCTTTGGGGAGGGGAGGGAGGGGGCACGCGCGCCTCTCTTCCCCCCTCTCCTCCTAGCAGTGTCTACCGGGGCTGTTAGGCAACTTTCCGCCTCTCGCCCCTGCAGCCCGGGAGTCCATGATGCTTGTCACGTCTGGGTCGCGCGGCTGGAGACCTGGGGCTGCAGAGGAGCCCTATCGTCTCCCCCTGGAACTTTCTCTCATAATTGTGTGGATCAGCAGGCGCTCAGAAGCCTGTGCGTGCTTATTCCAGTGGGAATGCGGGTCGCGCTGCGTGAGTCCCTCCCCTCGTTTTGCAAAGTCTACGGCCAGGATTGTGGATTTCGGAGCCTCGGTGGGGGAGGTGTTCAAGGCTGGTGGCAGGTGCTCCTGAAAACTTGGGGAGGAAGCTTGCAGCCCTGCCATTTTTTTCCTCCCGAGGATTCAAAGCCCGGCACCTCCTGGGTGGGTGGGTGGGTGGGGAGAGGAAAGCTCAATTGATCTCTTTTACTAATAAAGCAAATGAATAAGCCACGCCTTCCAGGCGGTCGGTTTCACTGCAAACGGCTTTGTTTTTACCTTCACTGTCTCCTCCCTGTCTCCCACTCCCGGCTTTTGAAACAATCCTGCTCAATCACTGCCTAGCCCTCTCTCGACCAGCCACGCTCGGCTCTTACTGGTATGTTGCTCTGCCAAAAAGGGGGGTGGGACGCTTGTCGCGGGCGCGGCGTGACGGGCAGGCTGGATGGAGCAGGTAGGAGTGGTTTACCATCTGGCGGGGTGCGCGCTCAGGTCTGGCTACCCTTTTGAGAGGTGAATTTACAACCCAAGAAGCATTACTCAGCAGGGAGGTATTTCCTCTCCTGGTTGTGCATTTCATGAAAAGTTGATGCCTGGAAATTCAGGCTTTCTCGATTTCTCTTTCTTCCCCTCCCTCCTTTCTTTTCAGAGGTTCCCTCTTTCTCTGGTGATGGGGGTGGGGCTGGAAGAAAGGCTATTATCTGAGACAGGCTCATGTTATGGTTCCGCTCTCCGCAGCTCTCCTACCCTGGCGTGGTGTGTGTGCATGTGTGCTACGTAAGTGTGGAATGAAAGAGGTATTTTGGGGTGGGGAGGATGTTTGGGGTATGAATTCTTTCTTTCTTAGCGGTGCTAGGCAAACCGTGATGTATTTATTTGATCAAAGAATGACCACAATGCAAATAATATGTAATTTGTGTTTGATTATTTTGCCTCGCTGTGCTTTTGTAAAATAATTTCCCCTTTTGTGTAGCTTCCTGGGGATAGGTGAAAAGTAGCGTTGTTTTATTTACCTTGGGGGATTCTCCTCTCCTTCCTGGCTTCTCTCTTTCAGGAGCTTTCCCTTGCATCCCCTACTTCTCCATTTAATTAGCGACAGTAGAGGGCAGGCCCTGAGCTCTTAAGAGTTGCAGAGACACGGGCATTCCTAAACAAAGGGGCTGCTTGGATTGACGTATTGCGGGGGCCTAGGGGGTGAGGACAGCTGCATTTTGTCCTAGGTTCTTTTAAAAAATGTTTTAATAACGTAATTATCTGTAAAAACTCCCGATAAAAAGATTTTAAGAGTGTTTTGGAAAGTGCAACTGGATAAATGAATCACGTTAAAGTCACTGTTGTTTGTGCTTTGTTTACATTGGTACTGAGTGTCAGAATCTACCTAGAGCACATCTTGCCACTTTAGTCTACAGGAGTCACTACTGATCATCATCAACTGGTGTCTAGTGTGAAAGTGAAGCTTGGGATGTAAACAGAGTCCGACTGTGTGTTGATATGTGACTGGGTTCCCTCCTGCATGTTGCTAGAAGGGTATTTGGGGCTGTACAGGAAATAGCAAAAGACGATGAAGCCACCTTTTGTTGTCTGTTTATTGCCATGTTAGTGGTACTGTTTGGCTCCGCACACATTGTATTATAAAAGATGAGTCTCATCTGTCTTCCTTTTTCAACTTTCTCCTACCAGTGAAAAAATAAGCCAGGGCAGTTTTGATGACTTCACATTTCAGTGGTATTTGTTTTTCATGGGTGGTTTCATGCTGTCAGGTTGCCCTTCAGAGAATCAGGGAATGCCTTCCTAGAATATTAACAACAAATTGTTGAATTTGCACAGCTTGTTTTGTCTCCCTGAATTAGTATGTGTAAGAAAAACCAATGAAAGATTTTAGCAGGCTCTGAAAGTAGAATGCCCGCTGAAGCAAAAGGCAGGGTGGTTCTTCCAAGGGGTGTTAAATATGGGTGCCCTTCAGTCTGCAGACTTGGTGTGCTGCAGAATATCACACATCAAGATACTTTGACCACTATTTAGAAGAGTAACTTCATAAACCTTTTAGGAAAGTAGACACTCCTACCTACCACATTTCTTAAAAGTAGATTTGTGTTTTTATTTGAGATGGATGAAAAACATAATATGTTTGGAGTGCACTTAGTTATGTCCCATCTATAGACTGTTGCGCTCTCTGCACTGCTGATAAAGCATTGCGTGAACCCAGAAAACGGGGGTGCCAAAGCAGAGAGCACTGTTGCTTACATAATCAGCAGAGGTCTGTCCACTTTGCAGAGGGCAAGGGGTTGAGAAGTAGGCTTTGCTTGTGTGAATGTATATGCTGTTTAATTTTTGCCGTGTTTCAGGTGGAGGTTTCTTTGGTGAGTTATAATTCATATTTACTGTAATTTAAATCATGTCACTGTAAGTAGCAAGATTCAGAGTCATCAGATGAAGGACTTTTGGTGTGAAGGGATTAGCAATGTAACAAAACTTCTGATTCATGGCCCAAAATCAGATTTGGTTTGGAATCAGAACACTTTGGACTAGTTTCTGCATCTGGCTTGAGTCCTTGATGGATTTTTATTTATTTATTTATCTTTGGCAATCCATAGTGCATTTTGACATAGTTATGAATTTTACTACTTTCTGAAATCTATTCCATCTTAGAAAGGTATCTTTTTTTGAAAAGATTTTTCCACTGAGCAAAATACTAGGATTGAATGGCAGCTTCTTATGTTAGATAAAACATTAAACAATTTTGTTAGTAGTTAAACCGAGGCAAATGGCTTAGAAATGAGGGCCAGGCTGACATAGGATAAATGACACCTTTTCTCCTTATCCTATACAAACGTGGATAGTTGGCTAGTTTTGAATGCTTCTTCCACCAGTGGCATAAATCCGGCTTAGTTGGGGCCACATTCCAGCCTAGTCACAATCAGTGGCTTGCATTATGTCCTTTGAGAGGTGCCAGATCTGCTTATAGGTGCCAGTCACCATGGCTCCCTGCTGGTTTAGGGGTCTTTCTACTTATTTGCATATAATTATCCGCTTCATAACCTACCTAAAAGGTTAACTTTTGACATGGATACCATAATTTTTTTTCACTTTAAGATGCTGTCAGTTTTAAGATGTGCCATGAGAGCAAAGTTCTAAGCCTCGTGCACATACTATTTTGTTTAATTCTCGTGAGAATTCTGTGGCGTAGGCTGTGATTTACAGATGAGGAATGGAAGCTTAAAGAGGTTACATGAGCTGCATAAGGACACAGAACAAGTAAGTTATGGAGCCAGGTATTTTTAATCAAAAGGCCTAGTTTTTTGCATGCTGAATAATCCTCCCTTTCTGCCAAATGCCCTGCAAGGTCTTAGTAGCTAAATTATTCAAGATGATGTAAGAGAAATAAACACCACTGGTTGCAAACTGATGGCTGCTGGGCCAGTTTGACCAGGAGCCCTGCTTATTGTGGTCTCCAGAGTGTCTTAAAGCTTGGAAATTTCATGAAAATGGTGAAAATCTGGCTTAATTGAAGCTACATTCTAACCTATTCAGTAGCTTGCCTTATGCCCTTTGAGATGTGGCAGATAGTTCTGCCATGGTGGCAGTCACCACTACTTTCTGTTGTCTTAGGGGTTTTTCTACTTATTTATATATAATTATCTGCTTTGTTAGAAACCTTTAAGGCTAACCTTTGGCATGGAAACCATATTTCTTTCACTTTAAGATACTGTCACTTTTAAGATGTGCCATTATTTCATGTGCCACTGAGAGAAAAAATTGCTGTCAAGTCATGACATACTGTCCATCTCATGAAGCATCCTTATTTCAGAGAAGTTGAAATATGAAAACAAGCATGCTTTAGAATTGATGGATTACAGTGATTAGGAACCTGGGAAAAGTCCACGCCTTCAGTTTCAATATCCCCAATCATTCAGCACTTTTAAGTCAACGAGTAGTCAGATTTCTGCTTTTCTGTGTTTGAGAAAAGTGCTAGAAAAAGAGAAGTGCCCTTAAATAGGCATTAGCACAGAAGGAACTGGGGCCTAGATGATAGCCATCTGTAACTGATTAAGAATAGTTGTTAGTTTTAAAAAAGTGGCCTGTGTGTATTTTCAGGAGATTACTTGGGAAACCCTATGTGCCATCTTTGCAGCTGTGCAAAATGGTGAGGACGAGATTGCTTTCAGAAATTATAGTTTAGATTTTTCTCGGATCTAAAGGTGAATGCCAACAGGCTGTTTTCTGAAGAGAGATAAGCCTTGCCCAGTCATGCCAAATCCAAGTGCCTGTATCAGGTCTAGATGCTGGATAGTAGACTGTATACCCAGGACATGGTAGGTAATATTTGAGAAACAGACTCTTAAAAGGGCCTAGTTTTTATGTTGACATTTAAAATCAGTTTGTAAAATTCATGAATATGACGTGTTCTTTTAAAATTTGACTGTAGGGGCTGGATGCAGTGCTCTCTCCTGTAATGCTAGCATTTTG